GCAATTCATCTCTCTCTCTCTCTCTCTCTCTCTCTCTCTCAGGCAATACTGAATACACGCATAGTATTTGGGAAAGTAAAGAGATTTACTCCTTCTCTCTCTCCTGAATATATTGATTAAATGATAGCTCTGTTAGTATTACTGCTATTAATAGTTAGATAAATAGTGAATTGAATGAGAAAAGCAATTGTATGGCAAAGGGATAGAGGGATGAGGAGAGAGATGATAGGGATGAGAGTGGGAGAGAGAGGGAGATGCGTTCACTGTTATGCATGTATTGTATAATAAACTCATATATTATTTAAGCGAATGATTAATTATATTCTTACACAACACTCACAACACACACAACAAAGTGTACACAAAAACGTATAAAAAATTATCGCATTGTAATTGAAGCGAGAATAAGGCTTTTGGTTATACAATAGGCCTAAAAGTTAAGTGCGAAAGAGTTATACAGAGTTAAAGGGATGGGTGGGGAAGAAAAAGCGGGAGAGAGAGACTAACGATGGTAATATGTACATTACGTAACACATTATGGTAATAAATATACAATCTATGGTATGAATGGAAACATACTTTGTTTGAAGCCGAGATGCGGGACCCGTTGTATTGGTGTCTTCCTCTCACGCATAAACTTATTGAGTTGTTTGAGAAATATTTGCTCATTCTTTACGCAAAGCTCTTTCATTTGCTTCTTATCGGCGCCGTTGACCAGCAGGTCGTCGGCCGCCGACCACTCGCCGACATCACTAAAATCTTTGCCACAATTGTTTGGCGCACTGTTTGTCACGTTATTATTATCATTATTCACATTACTGTCACTATTGGTGTCATTAATATTATGACTGATATTATTGTTATTATTATTATTTTCATTATTACTAGTATTGCTATTGTTTTTCACGTAACTATTCCGGCGCTGAGCCGCCGATCCGGCGGTTGCGGTCGTCGTAGTGGTCGTCGCGGTTGTGGTAACCGATGTCTTATCGGTAGAGTTGGACTTATTTAGCGCCGATCGGCGAGTGGTCCGGATCTGTGAGGTCTTACTCTCCTCTGAGGTATTGGATTCGGGCGAAGAACTGCGCGGACAACCATTGGTGACCGCATTGTCTTTAGTACTATTGCCGGTGCCGTTGGCCGGGGATCCGGTGCCGGCTGTGGCCGCAGCGGATCCGGTATTGCCATTATTGGTGCGAATGATTGCTGTGGTCTTCTTGCGTGGCCTACCCTTCAGTTTGGGCGCTAAACCGGACGTAACAAACAAACCACAAATCATTAGTACCCGATATATAACATGTAAAGTATAGTTTGTATTGTAGTATTGGTTAAGATAAATAGCCACAAAAAACAAGTTTTATTATATTATGGATGAATTGTCGTGTAATTGAAACCCAAATAAAACACATGAAATAAAATCACTGCTTGTCTCACATCATCCTAACAGCGATTCTCTCCATTGAATTATTGATTATTTTATTTCATTTATTATATGATATATAAATCTCTTTTGGTATTTTACGTGAGACATGGGTTTTGAGGTCTTATTAACGCAAAAATTAGCTCTGACTCTCTCTCTCTCTCTCTCTCTCTCTCTCTCTCTCTGATATACAAAACCAAACCGTGTATTAAGTATTAAATAATAGCGACAATAGTATTATGTAATAAACGTTTTTTTTGCATTCAGTTAATTATATTGTGAATAGAGAGGGAAAACAACATTTATTGTTAACTTCATTATAATTAATATCTCTTTTTTCTATGCAATTAAATAGAAAAGTTTATACAAATATAATGTTTAATTACGTAATTGTAGCCCATGTTAAACGTACTGCACATGCAATTTAGTGCCCATTACATGCCTATTGTGTATATAATGTTGTATTATAAATATCTTGGAAATAAAAGCCTATTTATTAAATAAAATATATTTCTCTCAAAAAATTTCTAACGAAAGAAAAGAGGAAAAAGAAGGAAATTTTTTGCACAAAAAATATTTTCTAAAAGCATTTTATTTTACGATAAATTTAATATTTGAAAACCTTCACAATAAAGGGAGAGTAAAATAAATAAATAAATTACAGTAAAATTGAAATAAAATATAAAATTCAACACAAAAATAGTTTATAAGGAGAGAAATAAATTTGTATATATTTTTTATATACACAAAAATTGTGATCCATTACTATATTTACAACATATAAATTATATGATATAATCCCTATAGGAATACACGGCTTATAATACTGATCACACAAATTATGAGAGAGAGAGAGAGAGAGAGAGAGAGAGAGAGAGAGCGAGATTACCTAACATATTATGTATATGTAATAAATTTCAAACTAGTTTTAATACAAATTTACAAATAACATGGTATTAAGCATTAAAATATTTCACAATCCAATCACAATATCAATTCATTATTTACTTATAGTATTACTTAAATGGCAAATAATATTCACATAAGAAAATCCCATTCAATACACTTAATACCAGAAAAAAAATCTTGTTTTAGTCGCGATTTTCATTGATTAGGATAAAAAATAGGTAACAAATAATAAAATAAATACATGAATACATAATAAGCTTATGGGAGTGATGTCAAGGAAATGGCAATAATATGTGGTGGGAGTCAAGTCAAGGGAGGGGGCGATGGGATGGAGGGGTCGATTGGATCAATAAATACGGTACAACACGGCGATTGATACAACACAGGTTGTAATAAAATTCAAACCCACACTATTTAAGGCTAATATCAATTGATAACACAATATATATAAAATAAAAAACAACAAAACATATTAACTCTGACCTCAAGCTAAATATCAAACGTCTAACACAATTACATAGAAATAAAATATAACGTCAAACATATATCAAAATTGATAACTATATGACATTTTCCATGTATTTTGAAATGTCCAACAATAGAAAACAGCAAAAAATCAAACCATCACGATAAAAATATAACAAAGCATGTTTGGTGTGGCATAAAACATCTCGGTTGATGGACACAATGTAAAACATACCCAAATGGTCGCAATTGAGATCGTTTTGAAGGAGGGCCTCGTGTTCAAAGGTGTCCCGACAGAAGACAATGTTCAGCTTATTGGTTGTCGTGGGAATGCCCAGCGATTTGATGGCCATCTGGACGGCCTCCCGACACATCCAATCCGACTCTTTGCCCTCAATCCGTCTCAAAAGGGCCCGATATCGACAATATCGCGGATATGACAGCACCACCACTGATGAGCATGTGCTTGGTGAATTGCCTGTCATGAATTAAATATAAACACGATAGAAATATTTATTAGTGATTATTCATTTGCATAAACTAATGATTAAGTAATTTTTAAATAATTTTAAATTTAAATTTATAATATAATCATTAAAAATAATATTTAATATTCATTTAAAGCAAACTCATTATAATAATAATACATTATTTCCGAGAATATTATTTGTTATTTTTGTGTTTAAATTTGTTTTTAGTTTAAATTTTGTGTTTAATATATAATATCGTCAGATAGAGCCCAGAGATTACTCGTACTGTAATGTTATGTAAAATGTTTTGTTTCATTTCGTTATTAGATTAAGGATTAAATTAAAGTCTAAAGGAATTAATGAGTGATTAATTGTATGCCAGAGATTGGGCGCAGAGAGAGAGAGACGGGTAGTCTTGTTTGACAAATAAAACAGATTAATGGATTATACATGGAAAATGTCATATAGTTATCAATTTTGATATATGTTTGACGTTATATTTTATTTCTATGTAATTGTGTTAGACGTTTGATATTTAGCTTGAGGTCAGAGTTAATATGTTTTGTTGTTTTTTATTTTATATATTGTGTTATCAATTGATATTAGCCTTAAATAGTGTGGGTTTGAATTTTATTACAACCTGTGTTGTATCAATCGCTGTGTTGTACCGTATTTATTGATCCAATCGACCCCTCCATCCCATCGCCCCCTCCCTTGACTTGACTCCCACCACATATTATTGCCATTTCCTTGACATCACTCCCATAAGCATAAGCTTATTATGTATTCATGTATTTATTTTATTATTTGTTACCTATTTTTTATCCTAATCAATGAAAATCGCGACTAAAACAACATTTTTTTCTGGTATTAAGTGTATTGAATGGGATTTTCTTATGTGAATACTAGAGAATAAAGTCTATTCCCGGCCCGATCCGATCCCGTTCCGTTTTATTGGTCAAGTTTTTAAGTTGTAATGAAAAACATAACTATTGAGTGATTGCATTGCAAATTGCAATAATGCATTGCATTCCATTTCCATTCGTGTGTGGACTCATCCCATTATTTACTATTAGGGTCATCACATTATTTACTACTACTATTTACTACATAGAAATGAATGTAGTTACCCAAAAGTGCTTTTCTATTCTTATTAGTTTTGATTATTTGCCATTTAAGTAATACTATAAGTAAATAATGAATTGATATTGTGATTGGATTGGGAAATATTTTAATGCTTAATACCATGTTATTTGTAAATTTGTATTAAAACTAGTTTGAAATTTATTACATATACATAATATGTTAGGTAATCTCTCTCTCTCTCTCTCTCTCTCTCTCTCTCTCTCTCCTTAAAGTATATTAATAAAGCATTTATTTTATAGATTTGTTTCAACAAAAAGATTATTATTTAACAATATAGCTGTAAAATAACATTTATATTTAATAGTTATATATATGTAGGATATTATGATTTGAGTAATTTTCGTGTATAAAAATATATATTCATATATTCTTTACTTTATTTCATGATAAATTTATAACCAATTTATGAATCGAGAAATATTTCGATGCATTTTTGGTAGTATTTGTTTTAAACTGAATTTATTTTATATATAAAAATATATTTGAAATATTTTATTCATTCATGAAAATTATGTGATTTGTCAGCAAAAATAAAATACGAAATGAAAATACATATTTCAGACACAAAACGCTGTTTTATTTACAGATATATGTGTTTATGAATTTGAATTTAACTTTTTAAAAGTTTTATTTATGTTTCATTTACTGCTATTTTAGCCGCAAAATAAAAATCTATTCACTCAACAAAACACACTTAAAACTTTATTTATAGTATTTTGAAGTCAGTTCTCTCCGCAAAACAAAACAATAAATAATATATTATAACGGCTTTTATATATACAAGTATGTTTAATAAATGAGTTTAACGTATAGTTTATAAACTAATTTGTTATGCATTTCTCTCGCTATGCGCTGAATATGTTTTAAACCGAGAAATAATACATCAAACAAAACGAGAGACAATTATTTCANTTATAATTAAATAATGAAATAATTGTCTCTCGTTTTGTTTGATGTATTATTTCTCGGTTTAAAACATATTCAGCGCATAGCGAGAGAAATGCATAACAAATTAGTTTATAAACTATACGTTAAACTCATTTATTAAACATATATATATAAAAGCCGTTATAATATATTATTTATTGTTTTGTTTTGCGGAGAGAGAGAGAGAGAGAGAGAGAGAGAGAGAGACGGGTAGTTTTGTTTGACAAATAAAACAGATTAATGGATGTGATTATTAGTTGCGGAACTCATTTCCTATTAAATAGTATTAGTGACTAAAAAATAGTGGGGATATAAGGGATGGGTTTGGCGTTTTTATACACAGGGATGGAGGGGTACATAGAGTGAGTGAATGCGAGAGAATTGATCTAAATTACTGCCTCTCTCTCTCTCTCTCTTCCATCTCTCCCTCCCTTTCCCTAATGATTATCGCAAGAGAAATAAAACAAAATAAAATTCACTTAAAATTCAAATTCATAAACACATATCTGTAAATAAAACAACATTTGAAAAGTGCATACATTTTTCTCTCCCATTTATAAACCTCTCTCTCTCTCTCTCTCTCTCTTAATAAAGAATATTAATATAGCATTCATTTTGTTATAGATTTATCTCAACAAAGAGATTATTATATAACAATATAACAATGAAATAACATTTATATTTAATGTCTATATGTGTTGGATATTATGATTTGAGTAATTTTTGTGTATAAAAATATATATTCATATATTCTTTATTTTATTTCATAATAAATTTATAACCAATTTATGAATCGAGAAATATTTCGATGCATTTTTGGTAGTATTTGTTTTAAACTAAATTTATTTTATATATAAAAATATATTTGAAATATTTTATTCATTCATGAAAATTATGTGATTTGTCAGCAAAAATAAGATATGAAATGAAAATACATATTTCAGACACAAAACGCTGTTTTATTTACAGATATGTGTTTATGAATTTGAATTTAACTTTTTAAAAGTTTTATTTATGTTTCATTTACTGCTATTTTAGCCGCAAAATAAAAATCTATTCACTCAACAAAACACACCTAAAACTTTATTTATAGTATTTTGAAGTCAGTTCTCTCCGCAAAACAAAACAATAAATAATATATTATAACGGCTTTTATATATATATGTTTAATAAATGAGTTTAACGTATAGTTTATAAACTAATTTGTTATGCATTTCTCTCGCTATGCGCTGAATATGTTTTAAACCGAGAAATAATACATCAAACAAAACGAGAGACAATTATTTCATTATTTAATTATAATTACATTGAAATTGAATGAATGATGAGAGAGAAAGAGGTTTATAAATGAGAGAGAAAAATGTATGCACTTTTCAAATGTTGTTTAGTTTTGTTTTTGTGTGTTGTTTTGTTTTGCCTGTTGTTTAGGCAGAGAGAGAGAGAGAGAGAGAGAGAGAGAGAGAGAGAGAATAATATTATCCGTAAAAACATAGTAAATATGTTTTAAGCAATTATTTTGTGTTAAAATAAGAGCCAATTTGTTAATAATAATAAAATGAATCCAATATTTAACAGATATTAATAAACGGCAAACACAGAGACATAGACTATAAATACATATTAAATATAATAAATATCAGTTCACACGTCAAACGTATGTGTTTTATATTATTGGGCTATAATTGTGTTGTATTAACCGAAATAAGGTTAACAAAAACAATATTAAAAACGCTTAATAATATTTAATGTTATATTTTATCTCACTTTATATATCGCGTGTTTAATGTGTTGCATAAGAAGTGTTAGTGTATTAAAAACATGCTAATAAACATCACACTATATATTCTGGTTTACGTATAATAATAACATATGTTTCAATAACAAAATGCTTATTTTGGTCATTAAGTGTTGGTTTAATGAGAAATTATATATTGTTTTTGTTGCTGTGTTTTCTCCTCTCATGGTTTACCATCACATGTCTGTCGATAAGTAATACTTATTATTATAAATACAGGAATTTATTTCAAAATAATAAGCAGACAAAGAGGGAGAGAAAAAACAACAAAAATTAAGCTCAAAGTAACCAAAATAAGGAGAGAGAGAGAGAGAGAGAGATGAATTGCATTAAGATTTTGCAGACAAACACATAACATAACACAAGACAAGAATAATTATTAGATATATTGGAAATATAATAATGCAATACATTTGCCGTAACCAAACAAATAGGGTATAAAAACTACTTTATTATTTTAGGGCTTTTAACAAAACAAATCAAATTAATTTATCAATTTATTTAAGAGTCAGAGAGAGAGAGAGAGAGAGAGAGAGAAATTTTAAATTTTTTAAAAATTATTTAAATTAAAACTCTAAACTCAATTCAATATTAACTTTCATTATAATTAATTACATGAAATAAAATCTTAAGTAAAAATTGCTGTATAAAATATATTTCATTATTTATATTAAATTTATTGCTGACTTGACTTACAAACAATTTATAATTGTTTTACACAATCAAATAGAGAGAGAGAGAGAGAGAGAGAGAGAGACGTATTTATATATATCATATTTTACGTTTCATATCACATACAATATTAATCTATAAAACCATATATAAAACAGAGACACAGAAAAACTAATTTTGATTTTTTCTGATTTTATTATATTATCCTTTTTTCTGTGTGTATCACATATTTCATGCATTAATACTCCCGATTCCCTACCCTCTCAACTATACATACATTTTATATATTTCTCTGTACTGTATATTAGATATAAAAAGACAACACACAAAAAATACCTAAAATAAAATAAAACTAATCTAAACATTCAGTTAGAGTCAAGTCATAGCCACCAGTGCCTCCGCTCAGGCAATACTATTCCCCTACCGATCCGTTCTCTCTCTCTCTCTCTCTCTCTCTCCTGTGAAGTCTAATTAACGATTCAAAGCACGGATCGAAACAAAAAATATATAGTTTTCGAGAGAGAGAGAGAGAGAGAGAGAGAGAGAGGGTCTGCGCACAAATCAATTAAATAACAAAATTGTATTATATTATCGATTTTAAGCCTTAAACACATTTTATTCTG